TTTCATTAATTATCAGCCGCGAACAAAGTCAAAAACTCTAAAAAAGTGCATTTTCTGCCAATTCAGAAAGAGCGAAAAAAGAGGGTCCCTTGTCATATTTTGTCAAAAAAATTTTATGAAGAAATTTGGTAAAACCCAAGGCTATATTTATCGAAAGGGGCGTGGCTATTGCAAAACTTTTTTCTCTGGCAAGCAAGCATCGAACACGTTTTTTAACAAATAATGGGAATCTTCGAGAATTCCAAAGAAATATTCTCTTTTGTTTACAGTATACAAGATCTTGCGCAATTTTGTAGTCACTTGAGGTAATTTCAAACGACCCATTCTCGGGTGGGGGCAACTCTTATATTTTTACATCTTATAAATTATCTCAAAGTTGTAATAAATGCGGTTTATATATTTGATGATTTAATAAAATGGTTTAAGGAAAAAAAGTCGGTGCTATTTATCATTTTAGGGTCTCACGAAGGCGAAAGCTGCCGAAGTACTTGCCAGAGATGGACCAAATGCTCTTTCACCTCCAAAAACTACTCCCGAATGGATAAAATTCTGTAAAAATCTTTTCGGTGGCTTTGCTCTTCTGCTTTGGGTAAGAGATTTATCCTTAGCGCATGAATGTCTCAAAGAGTAGCGAAAGTTATAGGTTGGAGCATTCCTATGTTATGTTGCTTATTCAGTGGATTATTTCACCATGGAATACCCGTCCAAAGATAATGTAAGCACGTAATTCACTTTAATTTCGAAAAAATGCCAGCGTACCGACTTTAGCTTTATCTCGGTATTGTACTGATGACTGTCGTCGTAATCACTGGTTGTTTCCAATACTATCAGGAAAGCAAATCAAGCAAGATTATGGAATCGTTCAAAAGCATGGTCCCGACTGTGAGTTCTATACTATCCTATTTCTTCTTTTTCCCTTTCCTCTTTTCCTCCAACACCTTACGCTCCCTTTTTCAACAATGTTTTTCACTTACAGTTTGCTCTCGTACACCGTGATGGACAGAAACAGCAGATCCGAACTGAAGATTTGGTTGTAGGAGACATTATCGAAGTGAAAGGCGGAGATCGTGTACCAGCTGATATTCGCATCATTTCGGCTTTTGGTTTCAAGGTGGGGAATTTTGCCAAAAATGTAAATCTGCTTTTCGCGTTCAAAATCGCACGCAGCCAATGAAATTTGTGATTCTACGTCTG